TTCTGAATTAAGCGATCATTGTCACACGATTGCACAAACCTTTGGATTTCTGACATGTATACTGATGAGCTGCTAAATCTATGCATTAAGCCAAGAACAGCTGTCTCATCTGAGAATTTGAAAATGTTTCTTTGACTACTGATTGTACAATCATTTGTATAAAGTGTGAACAGTATGTAGTTGGATCAGAATAATCTATTAATTAAATTCCTAATTCTTACGGTAATGCATCTTGTAATCAGAATTCTGACTGTGCCATCTGTGTCTATTATAAATAAATTTGTAATTCAAGATCAAACAAGTGCAATCTATAAGCATTTTCTTTGATATCCCTTCTGTCTTGAGGTTTAATGCAGGTGGTTGTGTTACTTTTCAGTATAAAAATGTGATCTTTATAAAAAAATTATTTACAGAATGGTAAATGTTGGTGTCTATATGAATTATATTAAGGTATGTTTGCCCAGTTTCTTAAAACTGAAGCTTAACAAAGGTATTTGTATTGCATTCCTTGTCTCTGGAGTAGGGGGTCTCTTTTTATTAAATGAGAATCACCAGGCCTACTTTGTTCATGGCCAAAAGGTTTTATGCTGTGTCTGTGCAACTCTTATCTCTCCTTGAGAGAGAGGTTCACAGTTCTTCTGGCCTTTGAGGAGCAACAAGGAATAACAAATGCCCCATTATTCAAAGATGCAGGCATGCAGACTTACCTATTAGCAAGAAATGAGTACACACACCCTGGTGACAGATAGTATGGCTTACATGATCATTGAGTAAGTCTAGACATTTGTGTTGTTGTATATGAAGACACAGAGATAAGTGCTGCTTTAAACAGACTCTCCACACTCTGCTGTCTTGAGTAGAATAAGGTCTCAGCTGATTGTGTCTCATCCTCTGCTCCTTATAAAAGTGCTCTCTGTCTACTCCTGCTGTTCTGGGAGTGTTCATGCTAAACTGCTCATCTTGTTCTGTCACAACACACAGTACCAAGCCTGTGTTTAAAGCACTGACTGGCTACAAGTGGTGATGAACTCAGGAAGACAATTTGCATAGAAGAGACAGTTTGCATTGGCAGCACATGCTTCAGTGCTCTGGGAGTGTTAATAGCTCTGTGAGTTTATCACTTCATGACTGAGAGTTGCCCTTCATGACAACAGAATCCACAGCAACAATGAATTTTATCACAGTCTTCATCTGGGCACTCTACTTCACTGCTCAGGGTAGGATTGGGTTTGGATATTTTAAAGATTTTACAATATTTTTATTTCACATGGTAAAATAGGAGTCAAGTTCATTTGAAGACAAGAAAATGACAAAATCAAAAAATGTGAATATCTTATGAATATATTGTTTTTTGTATGTCTATCATATTGTGATATTATCACAATATCATATTATTGATTTACAGAATGCAATGGACAGATTTCTGTGACTCCGTAATATCTACTGCTCCAGGACAGACAGTTACTGTGAGCTGTAGGACCAGTTCTGCAGTGTACAACAATAATCACCTAAGCTGGTACCAACAGAAAGCTGGAGAAGCTCCTTAACTTCTGATCTATGGAGCAACTACCCGGCAGACTGGGATCCCAGAGTGTTTCAGTGGCAGTGGATCTGGGACTGACTTCACTCTGACCATCACAGGAGTCCAGGCTGAAGATGCAGCAGATTATTACTGTCAGAGTTGTCATAACATCAACAGTAATTGGCCATTCACACAGTGTTACACACCAGCAGCACTGCACAGCAACTGCACTGCTGCAGCTGGGACCTATTGCAGGTGCTGAGGGTGAAGACAAAGACACAGGACACAGCCTTTGGGGGAGCTCAGCTGCACAGACACTGATATTAGTTCAATGAATATTATGAAGCTGACAAAAGCTCCATACTCATGAGTCAATCTGAGAGTAGTTTCCGTTATTATCATTTTAACCTACAAATAAATCTTATTATTTCAAAGGCTAAAGCATTGTAACTCCTAATGCTGGGGACCTGGGTTCACTTCCTGGGGTGCTATCTATGTGCAGTTTGCACGTTCTCCCAGTTTTTGCATGGATTTCTTATAAGTGCTCCAGTTTCCTCCCACATGATGCTAGAATAATCATCTGTTGGTAAATCTGGCCCTGGTGTGAGTGTGTGAGTATGTTTGCCCTGCGATGGACTGGTGTCCTGTCCAGGGTGTATCATGCCTTGAGCCCCTTGCGACCCCATGTTGAATAAGAAAGCAAGAAAATAAATGGATGGATAAAACATTTATCTGAATTGATGGATTGACAGACCAGAGTTAAAAATGTCTCTCAAGCAGAAAAAGGAAAAATTTTAAATATCATGGATGTCAGATGTGATCAGTATCTCTCTCTTCACTTTCGCACTTAAAATGATTCAAATTCAAATGATTATCAAAAATGATCTAATATAATAAAATAAATTTCTAAGTTTATCTGCAGGAGGTCCCATCTTGAGCACTACAATCGCTGTACAATCCTGCTGAGGGAGGTTTTTGTACGGGTGTGTAACACTTTGTGAACACACGGTTAGTGCTGGGGTAGTGGAAACTCTGACAGTAAAAATCTGTTGCATCTTCAGCCTGGACTCCTGTTATGGTCAGAGTGAAGTCAGTCCCAGATCCACTGTCACTGAAATGCTCTTCGATCCCAGTCTGATGGGTAGTTGCATAATAGATCAGGAGTTTAGGAACTTCTCCAGCTTTCTGTTGGTACCAGTTTAGGTGATTATTGTTGTACACTGCAATACTGGTCTTACAACTCACAGTGACTGACTGTCAAGGGAGAACAGATTTCACTACTGGAGTCTGATTCAAAGTAACCTGTTCACTGTATTCTGAAATCAAGTCAAAACACAGTAAATGCAGGTAATTGATAATTCGAATTTTTAAATTACTTTTAGTAACTTCACACTTTTCTGTACACCTGGTTCTCCTAACTTGTAAGAATCTACATTGCTAAAAAATATGTATTAAATAAGTATTAAATCATACCCTCAACAGTGTAGGGGTTTTGTGATTTTACTGAGCCAATTATTAATAGTGGCAGTAATCACGAGGTGGTTGTTATGGCTTTTAGTAGTTCAGATGGGTAGCTGCATCAGCATGCGTAGGCTGCAAAGGAACAAGTAATAGGTTTATTCCATGCTGAAAAAAAGAAGAAACACCTGAAGAAGGCTCCACGGTCGAAACGTTGTGTTCTCTTTCTTCTTTTTTTCAGCATGGAATAAACCTATTACTTGTTATGGCTTTTAGACAATCAATCGTCAGAACAACCAACAACACACACGCGCGCGGATTCAATACATGAGATACATTTATTAATACATAAAATGTGCATGTAAACCTAACAGATCTTATCGTGAGGGTGAGCAGAATACAAAGGGTATATATTCATTCACGAAGAGTTACAAATACCAAGAGGGACATATGTTCAGTATATCATTCATTTAGACCGTTTCGTAAATGAACTTGGTTACAACTTCTACACTAGATACTCAAAACAAGTACATAACTCTTAGGAATTAAATTGATATCAACTGGTTTGGATAACAATTGAATTCTCGAGCTGTAATGCAGTGAAGCTGAATACTCATCCAATCTCTGGGGATTCAGATCTCCTGGGGGCACAAAGAAACAGTTGCAGGTTTGTTGCTGTCCAATCGGAGCTCTCTGGCTCTATGCCAGGCAGTGCTCGGTGTGGCTTGCAATGTGCTCACTGAAGACTCGCTAGTTAGTGCTGGCTTACTAGCAGAGTTTGTGCACAGGAGGAAAAGTGATTGCGGGTCTCAGCAGGTCAGGGAGAAGACCGGTTCGTTCCTGATGAAGGGCTAGTTCTGAATACTGATTCAGCTGTCCACAGTTCCGACCTGTTCACGAGGCTTGCTGCTGATGCTAACCTCGGGTGGATCCTTTGGTTATGCGCTGGCAACCTCCGTTCTCGACTCTTAGAACAAAGGAAAGTTCTGCACTCGGACACACTGGCTGTTCCGTGGTGGTCCGGGCTGAGTTGGAGGATGTTCAGGAGGAGCCCAGAGGCTGAATGTCCAGCAGGCACGCTGCGAGAATGTCCTGCGCTTGGGAGCTGTTCTGCCCTTGGGAAACACGCTGCTCTGCGCTCTGTGTTGCCTGTTTTTACCTGGAGGGCCTGCAGGTCGTTCATTGGTTGAAAGTTTCATGTTCATCAGAGACCCACGTGGGGTTAACCTACCCTACCAGTTCCTGATTGCCTGATGGTGAGTAACCATGCACTCTGACCTTAGAGTCGTAAACAAACTTTGAATCAGATTCTCCCTTGGGATCTCAGACTTTTAGGCGCCAGAGATGACTATTTATTAAGGTTGCTGGAGAATATCAGCATTGGGAGTTGCTCCTTATCAGGACACACTATCAGCTAGACAAACACCTTAATTGTGAACCCAAGTGGAGGTGCCTCTCTGTATCAAGCACCACTGAGATGAAGGAGAGAGGGGCTGGCAAGGGAACAGAAAGCTTTAATTCCTGTACTTTAATAAGCCTCGCTGCTACAACATGCACCGCATATCTCTAGTATCCAGAAAGTGGCCATGGATTTTCAGTGCATAGGTTCATTTTGTCTCATTGATGGCATGAGACAGGTTGGCCCTCACAGTCCTGAGGGCTGCCTTATCGCCTGATCTAAATGCAGCATCATGGGTTCTTAGCAGTGCATGGACCTCTGCAGTCAGCCATGGCTTCTGGTTGGCCCTTGTGATGATAGATTTATAGACAGTGACCTCATCTATACACTTACTGATGTAGCCAGTCACAGATGCTGCATACTCCTCTAAATTAATAAGATGATCATAGGTAGCAGCCTCCCTGAACATATTCCAGTCTGTGTGCTCAAATCAGTCCTGTAATGCTGAGATGGCTCCCACTGGCCATACTCTGATTTGTTTCAGAACTGGTTTGCACATTTGAGCAATGGTCTGTATGCTGGAATAAACATAACAGAGATGTGGTCACAGTAGCCTAGATGGGGGCGGGGAACACCTTGTATGCATCATGGATATTTGTGTAAACTAATGTTCTCTCCTCTGGTTGTAAAATTAACATATTGATAAAATTTAGGAAGAACTGTCTTAAGATCCGCACGATTGAAGTCGCCGGCAACAATGACAAAGCCATCTGGTGAGCAGTTTGCAGATCGCTGATGGCCCTGTGAAGGACTCGCAGCGCCTCTTTAGAGTCAGCACTGGGTGGGATGTACACAGCCACAAAAAGAACAGTAGTAAATTCCCTTGGTAAACAGAAGGGCCGACATTTTATTTATTTCACTGATGATGAGCAGTGACTGGAGACTACTGCAGCATTTTTGCACCATTTTTTGTTTATATAACCACACAAACTGCTTCCGAGAGACTTATCAGTCACTGAAACTTTCATGTTCGCATGGAAGGAAAACAGTCCATCTAGCTAAATGGGCATATCCAAAATAAGGTAATTTAGCCATGTTTCAGTAAAAATAAAGACGCAGCACTCCTCCATCTCTCGCTGAGTAGCCAGTTGAAATCTTAAGTAATCCAGTTTGTTTTCCAGAGAACGTATGTTGGAAAGTAAAATTGACAGGAGAGCCTGTCTGCTAAGATTAGCTTACATTCCAGCCCTCTTGCCTCATTTCTGTTTCTGGCACCTCCTCTCTCGGACTACTGCAACAGGTTGCGCCGCTGTCCCGGGACCTGATGCTCTCAGTAAGCCAAGGCTACTTAGCTTCTCCGTCAGACTTCTCGGCAGATAATCTTTGCATTGTTTTCCAATTTCCAGCAGGGTCAGATGATCATAGACATTTGACTAAAATTCGGACAAGAGACAACATTTAGCACCGTTTTTTCCGGACCCAGATCAGCTGCTGTGTCTGTGCGTATCGCCATCTTAAATTCCAAGATCTCAAGATCTTCCATTTAGCTGAAGATCAGTAGAGAGGGAGACCGTAGACCCATGTATGATGTGCAGGAGGTGTTGAATGTTACCAGGTGAAGCTCTCTGAAGGTTATTTTCCCACCCGGACCCTGCCTAGATCAGACTGTCCCTCCAAACTGAGCAGCCAGAGGCCTACAGCAGCTTTGAAAGAGCTACACAGTTCAATGGCACACTGTGCCTTCTTTATAGTATGGTGTTCCCATTACTGTACTGGGGCATTATGACCTACTGGTCTAACTATCACCTCTTCCAGCAACAACCTTAACTTTCACAGGGCGTCTCCCATTCAGGTGCTGGCCGAGCTCACACCTGCTTAGCACCAACAAGTTGCCAGTTGTGAGTTGCAGGGTGATATAGCTGCTGGCTGCCTTTGAGTCAACAATATCACTCAACTGTGCTGGCTTTAATGTCAGAAGCAAGAAGGAAACCATTATGGAAAAACTGAAAAACATTATGAGATAAAACTGGAATTTGTGTTTATCTAAATAGAAAGTGTTACACCTGGCACAACCCCAATAGAGTCCATCACTCAGTCAGCAGCAGCCCTACTGCCAAGCATGGTGGAGCAGCTTCAGGTTATAGTTCTGCTTCTCCTCAGCAGGAACTGGGAGACTTCACTAGGAATGACAACGCCCAAGATCAAAGCGTAATTAACTATTGTGGATCGAATATTTGGCTTAACCCGCTTGGCTGAGAGCCGACCTCCTGGCCATAGGACGAGGAAGCTAGGGCCCCCACAGAAGGTAACCAAGGAGTAGCTGCAGAGGTGGAGTTGGGGTGGAGGTGGGATGCAAAAGTCGTTCGCGAGGAAGAGAGATATTGCATTTGGTATTTATAGCATTCGGTGGAGGAATGATGAAGGGAGTGATTGCTACAGTAATTACCGACGGCTGGGAATGATTGAGCGTGGTTGTTGTCATCCCTCCCAAACTTTCGTTAAATAAACTCCATTAGTCCAGAGTGAGGGGACAATTAATGAAGCAAAGTAGCAAATGTCAGAGTAAAACCTGCTTCACTCTGCTGAAGTTCTAATTTCTGAGATGAAAATTAAACTTTGAACAGCACAATGACCCAAATCATAACGCTAAATAAGCATTGGAGGGACTCAAGAATAAGGAGGAAAATATCAATGAGTGACCAAGTCAGAGGACTAGAATTGAAAATTGCTGTTGATCAGAGCTTGAGTATATTTGTAAAGAAGAACAGACAAAAATTGCACCATCATGATGTGCACAGTTGGCAAAAACATATCCAAAAAAGTCACAGATGTACAATAATTGCTTTTCATGTTGCTTCCACCAAGTTTAGACTTTGTGGGAGAATACTTGGCAGTGGGGGTATTTTAGTTTTTTTATTTTTTTTTTTGCAGTTAATTCTTGAAATTTAGCTTGTTTGTATTGAAATTATTCCCTTTAATAAAGTTAAATAAAATAGTAATCTTTTAATAATACACATGAAGTTTATTGTGTCTCTCTGCAACTCACCTCCTCCACAGGCTCTGTCCTGTGTCTTTGTCTTCACCCTCACCACCTGCAGTAGGTCCCAGCTGCAGCAGTGCAGTCCTGCTGAGGGAGGTTTTTTTATGGGTGTGTAACACTGTGTGTACAGACCACTAGTAGAATGAGCCAGACAGTAATAATCTGCTGCATCTTCAGCCTGGATTCCTGTGATGGTCAGAGTGAAAAGTCCCAGATCTACTGTCACTGAAACGCTCTGGGAGCCCAGTCGGACTGTTAGTTGCTGCATAGATCAGGAACTTATGAGTTTCTCCAGCTTTCTTTTGGTACCAGGCTAGGAATCTGTTATAGTGCTGCACTGGTCTTACAGTTCACAGTGACTGTCTGTCCAGGGAGAACAGATTTCACTGCTGGAGTCTGAGTCACAGTTACCTGTCCACTGGATTCTGCAAATGACAAAGAGAACATAATTAAATTCAAATAGTAAATATCATAATGTTTTTTTCATTGATTTTCTGTTTTATACAAAACATTTCTTTTTTACCTATAGTTGTAAACTACGTTCATCAAATATTTCAGACCCATTCCTACCTTGAGCAGAGATGAGAAGTGTCCAGATAAAGATGGTGATGAAGGTCATTGTTGCTGTTGGTTCTGTTTCCCTGAAGGGCAGCTCTCAGTCATGAAGTGTTAAACTCACAGGGCTATAAACACTTCCAGAGCATTTGCTACCAATGCAAAGTGTCTCTTCTATGCAAATTGTCTTCCTGGCTTTAGCAGCACTTGTAGCCAGTCAGAGCTGGAAACACAGGCTTGGTGCTGTGTGCTGTGACAGAGCAAGAGGAGCATTTTAGCATCAACACTCCCAGGATAGCAGGACTAGACAGAAAGCAGCTAATTAAGGAGCAGAGGATGAGACACAATCAGCTGAGCCCTTATTCCAATTAACACACCTGGATTGGAGTGAAGTGTGGAGAGTCTGGTTAAAGCAGCACTTGTCTCTGGGTGTTCAGATACAGCAGAATTACTGTATGCATTCAGAAACAATCATCACCTAAAGGTAAACCAGCGGTCTGCAGTGTCTTTCAATTACATTACTTTTAGACAGACAGAGAAATCTTAGCTCCTGCCCCTGACTCTAGAACTGCATCAGAAGGTATCACTACTGTGTCTCCTAGTATGTACAGATGCAGCCATTCAAA